GGTGTTTTTGTTTTGTTTTTATCTGTTTATCTTTGTGATGTTATAAATCCAGCTTAGGACCTCAGGCCTGCTAAAGCTACATGCTTACCACTGAGCCACATCCCCACCCGGTGACTTCATTTCCAGCTAGCATCTTAGATCATTTTTATAGAAATTTTACACTTGCTGCCATGCTGTCTAGGGACTTTGTGTACACACTCTTTAACCTAGTAATCCTACTCAAGAAATGATCCAGATTTTGAAGCAACCTGATGGGAATGACTTTGTGTGGAAAATCAGACGTAGCCACAATGCAAATATTCAATGCTGAGAAAATGGTTAAGGAAATTTTGATAAATTCCCTAATTGGTAGATGTCTTACCATAGTTGAAGTACTAGAATTATCTTATTTATTCATTATAAAACTTCTGTGAGGGAAACATTATTTCTCACATTTTGTTTTAGGGAGATTAAGCAGCTTGTCTGAAAATAAAATTTTAATTACTGGATAAACCAGGATTACAACCCAAGTATGTGTGTTTAGAATATTCGAGATTTGTTGTATAAAAGCCATCAATTTAAAGCCCCCCCCCTTTTTAAAAAATCCACAAACATTATATATTAGAGTTTTACACCCAGAGGGCTTCCCCCTTGTTTCTCTTTCCCTTTACTTTTCCATCTAGGTGGAGAAACCTACCACATCTATCAGCTTCTGTCACTATGACAAGTTCCTGAGATAATTAGCTAAGCATGAAGGGTTTATTTTCACTCAGGGTTTCTGAGGTTCCTGTCAGTAGACAATTAATGCTATTGCTTTGGGGTCTGTGGAGAAGCAGGACATCACGGCAGTGAGTACATCGTAGAAGAGCTGCCTCACTTGCTTCTTGGAAGGATATTATGAACAAGCTAAGAACCCAATGTCCTCTTGAAAGGCACAAGCCCAGTGACAGAACTTCTTCCAATTAGGCCCCACCTACTTCCTTAAGGTTCTAGCCCCCTCCCTTCGTAAGGCCATCTCCTGGGGGCTAAACCTTTAGTATATGAGCACGTGTAAGACATTTCTGATTCAAACCCTCCCCGAAGTGTGATACATGGCAGTATCCCCAACACTGGGAAGACGGAACCAAGAGATTATGAGATCGAGGCCAACCTGGGCTATGTAGTAAGTTTCTGTCCTAGAAGACAAAGTAAAAAGACAGATGAAAACGATAACATGATACTTAGACATTTAAAAATAAATTCTAAAATAAAGTGAAGACCTAGATAAGGTGACATAGGCCTATTGGTCTCAGCACTCTGGAAATTGAGATAAGAAAACCCCAAGTCTGAGGCCAAACCTGAGATCCATAGCAAGACTTTATCTTAAAGACAGTGCATAAATATATATTTAGTATATATTTAGCTAACTATAACAGTCGTTAAAAATGCCTGAACAGAGGGTAGCAGTTACAGAAAATGCTGGGTTGTCCATTTTGCTGTATGCGAAGTGGTGTGTGGCCGATTGTCACATTTAGAGCCCGGCTATGTGGACAGTGGATGAAATAGATTCATTTTTTAATAATATTTGACATTGCTAATCGCTACTCCAAGCCGAGGGCTTATTCTTAAAAGCTGACAGGATACTGTCCTTTGCAAATGATGAACAGCTCATCAACAACACTAAGCCCTTTGTGTTACCTGTGCTTTTGTTCCAGCCTCTCCCGATCTTCTTTTTATAGCGTGAATGTTAAGTCTGAAGGACATTGTAAATAGTGAGAGAACAGAAAGCTCAATATTGCGAAATGGAATTAGCTGATTGGATTTCTGAGCCAAATCCATAGTCATTTATTGGCGATTGTCCTCAGACTCATTGTCCTTCTTCCAACGCTCTCCTTCTGTCTCTTCTTTAAGAAGTTTGCATCAACAATGGTTTTCATGGTTCGAATTTGTTTTGTTAGTGTATGAAGGCTAGACTCCAGCAGCTGTTGGTGTGAAATCATTACAAAAGATGTCATAGTCGCCCTTCCATGCTGCACTTGTCTCCAAAATGAACAGAACTGAAGACCCAAAGTAGTATCCTCCTTGGCAAAATTTTAAAGGCTTTTTTAAAAATTCGTTGTATTTAAACAGAGCTCCCCAACAATACAGGGGACATGGTATAAAGGATTGGAAAATGGCCTGTCAAAATAAGTTACTGGTCTTAGCCAGGGTCTTCCAAAGCTGTTTCAGCGAGGCTACTTATCTGGAGGATCCAGATTCAGTTCGCAACACCGACAAAATGGCTCACAACCCCCATAACTCCAATCTAGGGTATCAGAAACCATCTGCTGGTCTCTGCAGGCACCAAGCATGCGCATGGTATACATACACGCATACATATACATAAAATAAAAATAAACCTTTTTTAAAAGGTGTGTTTGATATACATTTCTAAGTTCTTCTACAATGAATCCTGGCTTTGAGATTTTCTCTTTTCTCGGCTATGGAAGTAACTGTAAAGTCCTGCCATGCCACGTCATTTTGCTTCACTTCAAGAGCACATTTATTGAGTGTCTACTATACACTTCCTTAAATGCTGTGGAGTTTGAAATCCCTAGCATCTCACACAGTCTAGTAGTGGGAAAAAAACATAAATACACATAAGTAATACCAGATCACATATAGAAAGTGCCATTCAGGGGGTAGAGATGAAAGAAACACTCACGGGAGATAGAGGGAGAGAATTATAATAATCATCTGCCAAGAAGACTTTATTAAGGACATGGCACTTGAACTTGGCTTGAAAATCTGGAAGCCTTTCAATAAACAGAAATGAGCAACAGCTCATAGTATGTTCTCAGTTAATGTTTACTGAGGGTATTAATAAAAATAAAAACTCAGATGTGAGACGTGCTTAAAAAATAGCAAGTTCACTAATGTATACCTAACCACAAAATCTCCTCATGTAAAAAATTCTAATTCAAACAGTCCGTGCTATACACAGAGGATGCATTCTTGGAAATTAACATGAAATGTTTATGTCAAAAGCAATTTTCCCATAAGAAATAATGGTTCAGGATGGATTGGAGGTTTTAGTTAAACTCTAGTGATATTTGTTATAGCATGGACTCACAGTTCTCAAAGAATGCTTTATGGACTCTGGAAGTCCATGAACTCCAGAGAGCCACAAGATCGAAACTACTTTCACAACAACACTAAAAATGTATTTGTTGTTTTCACTCTGTTGGTATTTGCCAAATCACTGACTAGGGCAAATGTTAGCACCGCTATATAAATCAAGGCAGCGACTCTAAAACACAGTCCTAGTCACCCTAATCGTCACCCTAATCGCCACTACATATGTTTGCAGGATAATAAGTACCAGTCACCAACGAATACTAAAGCTGTGAAAATTACTGGTCTTGTTAACACTCAGCCCTTAAGTAAAAATTTGTATTATTTTGGGCTACAAAATGAGAAATCCACAACATATTTTTGCTTCAACTATATATCAGTGTCCATGACAAGGAAACACTCTTGTGAGATTATTTGTGTTGTGAACTAAACTAAGCCGATTTCATCACTAGTGTTTTGAATTTAATATTTTTGTTATGGAAGTGGGAAGTACATAAAGTACGCCTCAACTATACATCAATATGCATTTCAAGGAACTCAATGTTTACACATTATTGTCTGGAAAAGGAACAACGAGAGGCTGTCAGCATGAGGAAAAGAACTACCCATATTTGATACAATTATTAATAATAATTAATAATTAATGGTGCAATTCGAGCTCCCAGGAGAAGGCTAAGGGTTGACGAAAGCACGGGGCAGCTGGGCACACTGTAATCACAGTCCTGACATACAATGGGAGTCTCAGCTTCCTCTCTCCTTGTCATACGGTCTGGGACTCCAGCTATGGCGTGGTGGCATCCACAGTTAGGGGTGGATCTTCCCACCTCTTCCAGCCTAATCTAGAAAATCCTTCAGAAGCATCCACAGAGGCTTTCTTCCACGCTCATTCCAAATCTTGTCAAGTTGACAATCAAGACCAACTGTCCCCAACTCTCATTGAAAAACAAGGGGTGGGGCTGAGAGGACCAAATGGGTGCTGAGAACAGTGATTGGAGCAGGAATTGAGCATAGTGACATGAAGTCTTGGAGAGCGGTAGCCATGGAAATAAAATGGACCCTAAAGGGTGAATCATACTGCAAGCTTAGTTCTGTCAGTGGAGAGACTTGGGGATGATAGGAGTCCCATAAAACTAGGTCACATGACTAAAAGCTCTGCATCAGAGTTCCAAACAAACATGTCTCTTGCTAAGCATATTAGTTGTGATGAAGCAACCTGATTTAAAAGCTGCAAGAGAGAGAACTGTTCGTGGTTTTGTTTCCTTATTTCTACTGATCAAAATATGGGATTTGACAATTGTAAGCGATCATTTCAATTTGGCACTATTCATTTAAGAGACAGTTCTGTCTTTATTCCATTAAGAACAGGTATTGCTTTTATATAATGGAGATAAATGCAGGTCCAGGACACGTTGGTAGGGAATTTGTTTATGATCTTGCTGTCCTTGGAGGTGACAAATATGTTTTACCTGTCAAGTCTTAAGTTCTCTATACGTATTCTCCTAACACAGAGACTCTCAGAAACTTAGATACAATATTATAAAAATGCAACATGCAATGTATCCTCTGGCTTCAGTGTGGTTTGAATGGAGCAGAAGAATGAAGAATGTGTCATGTCAAATGCTGTAGAATTGTCTCTCAGTATGAAGCTCGAAAATGTGTAAGCAATTTCCACATAGTTAAATTTGAAAAATGATTTTTTAAAATGGAGACTCGTTATGTTATACAAACTGGTGGTGATCTCTGGACTCGAGCAATTTCCCTGCTTCAACCTCCCTCTTGGCTGGACCTAGTAGTGTTTGCTCCTATGCCCAGTTGAAAAGCTTTGTTAAAAGCTGTGTACTTTATAATACCTCTTATAGGAACGTGTTCTTCTAAACCTATAAGCAAAAAGTAAGGAGAGCTTCTATAGTCCTGTTATCTTCTTTCAGCTCCTGAGAACCATGTCTGTGCCCAAGGGTAAAGTTCTGGATAAAAACCTGGATGAGGAAGGACTTGAGAGTGGAGACTGTGGCGATGATGAGGACGAGTGCATTGGGAGCTCTGGGGACGGAATGATGAAAGTGAAGAACCAACTGCGCTTCCTTGCAGGTAACTGCCTGAAAATGGTGATGCTCTCAGGAGTCAAAAATCAATTGCTTTCTAGACCTCCTCTAAAATCCCTGCAGCACACGATGCCATGAAGCCATAAACTCTTTTAAGAAAGATGACATTCTCAGAAAGCGAAGCTTTTTTTTTTTTTTTTTTTTTTGTTAGTTTCCCCACCTCTGACCCTGGGTAGATCAGAAAGGTCCTGTTCTCGTTTTCTGAAAGTGAATTGAGCTGAGCCATTGGCTCCGTTTTCCCATTGGAGTTGGCCTTGGTTCTTCTTGGTTGTAGAAAGCAATGCTACCTTGGGAGTCTTATGCCAACCTACAGTGAGGCTTGGGGTTGTAGCCGGGTAGAGTACTTGCATCTCATGTATGAGATGAGGTACTAGCCCTAATCCCCAACACCACCAAAAGGAAGTAACTCAACAATGGAATAACTTTATTATTTAATATATGAGCATTTTTTCCTGCATGTATGTATGTGTACCAGTGTGTGCTTTGTGGCCCTGGAGGCCAGAAGAGGCCCTGGAACTGGAGTTATAGTACAGATGGTTGTGAGCCACCAGGAGATGCTGGAATCAAACCCGGGTCCTCAGGAAGAGCATCCAGTGCTCTAAACCACTGAGCCATCTCTCCAGCCCCATGGAATAACTTTAAAGGAAGAGCTACATGTTGACTTTTCCTTCTTGAGAGAGAATGTCTATTATTTTCTTTTCTCACAACAGTCTAATATAGAAAGGCTATGTACAGCTGGGGAGAAACAATAGCAGTAGAAAAAAAGCAATGCCAGGGATGCTGGCGTCAATAAGGAAGTGCAGAAACAGAACCAAGTCTTCTAACATTTGTTGTATCTCAGAGTTTTTAAGTCCTTTCGTATCAACAGGTTATTTCTTTTATCAAATTCTTCCTAATAAAGCTGGGCTCCGAGAAGCAATGAGATTTCTCGAAAGGAGAGAGTCAGACTTTCATCGCCATGCCTTTTCCTCCTCAGTGCATCCCTTCTGCCTGAAACTCTGTTGTCCAAGGTCTCCAAAATGCTTCATTCCCTGTTTCTCCCATAGCCTCATTCTCTTACTAACTGCTGTTCATCTTGCCCCCGCCCGCCAGAGGTCTCTTTTTAAGCCTCTTCTTCCCTCTTCTCTAGAGAGAACACACATGTCTTATTCTTGCTCACTCTTTAAATATTTTCTTGGAATCAGTCATTTTTCACTGGGGAAAACTAACATGATCTCCCCTCTTAACAAATTCTGTTTGTTAAGTACTGTTCATGTACTGTTCAGTATTATGAATTAGGCACACTTTGGTCAACAGCAGATGCTAGCATCTTCCATCATGCATGGCACTATGCTCAATGAACAGCACCTCTTCATTTCTTCCAGGCACTCCTCAGCCCCTGAAAACCTAAGAGAGTAAGTTTCGGTACAGAGCAAGCATATATTTGACTTTTTCTTACATATTAGTATGACTTCGAACAAATTTCCTCAAGTTTTATCACCTCCTTTCTAATTCTCCAACTCTTTATCAAATGGAGAGCGTAACCTAACTTCGTGGGTCTGTGGCAGGAATATGTCAAGGGAAAAGTTGACAAAGCATATGCGATCATATTTGGCATGTACTAGCATATACCAGGTGCTCCGTAATTGTTAGTTTCCCTCCTGAAACCTTTTAAAACCAGCGGTTATGTTTTTAAAAAGATTTTTCTGAATTATTGAAGTAAGTTATGCCAGTGCTTTCAAGACATACTCTATAGAGCGATTTCCCGGTTCCGTGGGGGCAGAATCAGGATGGAGATCCAGATAGTCTGGTTTCAGAAGCCACTCTTGAACAAGTCTACTCAAATGCTTCCTTTGCTCCTCAAGGTAGCCATGAGAATATGAAAGTCAGTTTTTTTTTTTTTTTTTTTTTTTTTTTTTGCTACAGATTGACCATGCTTTGTCCGAAAGCCTAAAATCCAAAATACTATGAAATTCAAGCCCTTCGAGTGCCAACATGATACTCAAACGGGGTCAGATACTAAGAGATGTTCAGCCAGTAAAAACCTCACAAATATTCTAGAATCAGAAAAACTTCAAAACCTGAAGCAGTTTGGGTTAGGGATGGCCCCAACCTGTGTCTGGCAACTTCCGTGTCCATCTACATTCTAAAGGTTGCCCAGATGATTCATCAAAATGTTCTCTCGTCCCAGCCCTGGCCCTGAGGACACAACACCACTCATACTTCGCCAGCAAAGTCTCTCTGCTTATTCAAACCCATGACTTCCTGCCTGTAAGACTTGGCCCTCTCCATTAAAAAAGTTCTATAGTTTCAAGGTGACCTAACTTTTGTAAGCAGTGTTTGGCAGGGTCCTTCTCAAGGGCATTGTCAAAATGGACTTAGATTGCATCCTCGGGGGTCCCTTTGTTCACGCGCACATTGATCCTCTCCAAGAATGCTAGTCAGGTTATTAGGTGTGATTAGCTGGAAGGCTTTTGTAAACTGTAGAGTGTATTATGCAGAGGTAGTTCATTTAATTTATAGGGGAAATGATGCCTTGCCTCCAAAGTATTCTATGTGCTTAATCAGATCAATGACTCTACCAGCCTGTGCTTTGTCGGATCTCTTTTAAAATGCTTCCTGTAGGGAAGAAACTCATTGCCAGCCTGTCATGCTCATGGCACAATAGCTATTTGGAATGGCAGGCTATCCGCATTGGTTAGCTGTTACATAATTTCACCCAAAATCTGGGTAGATGCCATGTGGTCCTGGTGATTCATCATCATCCATTTATTGAGTCAACTTGATTTGGAACATGATGTACATTTACCATTTCATTTAGTACTGCAAATTGCCTCCCCCAGAAGACAACTCAGGAATAAAGAGCATGGGTTAGACTCTGTTCAATTCTCTTGTATCTTCCTTTTGTCCCTGAACAGACCTTTTGCGTCATAACCAGTGAATGATGCTATTAGCTGGCTTTCCTGGCTCGCTTCTTCCCATCTTTTGATGCACTACATATAATAGAGTCTACCAGGTTCTATTCCTGGGCTTTATTTCAAACTCCCGTGTGTCCTAATGAAAGTCCCTTCCAGTGTTTAGGAGTCAGTTTCTCCATCTGTAACATAAAGACAATGCCTAGACAACTCTTACAGACTTGTCTACTGCCAGCAGTCTGTGATCATTTCTTTGACTGTGTTTCCTGGCAAAAGACTTAAAAGAGTCTTTGGGGGATACCTTTTGGGGGATAACCTTGCAAGTTCTCTGTTCTCTTCTGAGATATTTCCACTTAGAATGGACCTGATTTTTCCTATTCTAACCACTCTGACTTTTCCATCCAGCCTTCTTGCAAAGAACCGCCTGCACCTAGACCTCATTTGTACAGCTGGATATTACCAAGATTTTATATGTGTCCGAGATTCCTGGGGTATAGTCACTTTTAAAACTCATCCTAAAGTCTTCCAGATGCTTCTACTTTTAATGGTCTTGCTTCCATCCCATCTTTCTTTTCTTCCATCTTTTCCCTTTTCTGTATTTTACAAATTTTTTTCATTCAGGGATGGACTTGTTATTGATGTATTGATGAGTTTGTTTGGTTTGGGGATTTTTTTTGGGGGGGGGGAGAAAGTTTTACAGTATAGCCCAGGGTGGCCTTGAATTGCCCCAAATCTTCCTGCCTCGGGTGGGACTGTAGAAATAAACCATGAAGACCAGTGTGGCACAATTCCTATTTCTACGTTGAAAATAGAATTCCTCAAGGTTTCTATTCCTTTCTGATAGTTGACTTTAATACTTTGGTGAGATGGGTGCTATGCAATGTCTCGCCCACAGTTGCATCTTTTCTCATGACTTACCAAGAGTAGCGCATTTTCCTCATCATGAGTGTCTTAGTGCTCCTATTAGCAAATGCTTTAGATTGGGTGGTTTGTAAAGAACAGCAATTAATTTCTCACAGTTCTGGCAGTTAGAAGTCCCAACATCAAAGCAGCAGCATCTGGCATCTGCGAAAGTCCTTGTTGCACTCTTAGATGGCTGGAGATGCAAATGCTGTTTCCTCACCTAGCAGAGGAGATGGAAGGACAAAAATGAGCGTGTCTGGTATTCTCCAGTCCTTTTGAAAAAGACTAATCTGCTACATAGGAGCAGCGCTCCCACATCCTTATCACCCCCTAACAGCCCACCATCTCCACCACAATAGTGTTGTGCTGGGAATTAAGTTTCAGAATAAATTTTGGAGGGCACATGAGCATTCAAATCACAGCGTCATGTACTTCATCTATCTCCTCATCTTTCCACATTTGAAGAATGGGGCAGCTCTGTTTCTTATTTTAAAGAATTGTAGATATTTAAAACAAAGATCTATGTAAAGCATAGGACCCAGTCCCCAGTACCCCCACACTCAAAACCACACGCCTGCTATGAAGGGTGTTGACCTCTCGTTTCTGTTGATACTGATAGGCTCTCAAAGAGCCTACGGGTGGAAACCAGCACTATCTTAGAAACCCACTGTGGTGAAAAATGCACGGCGTCCTATCACTTGGAAGGTGGAGACAGGATCAGAAAGTCAAGGTTATCTTCTACCACTTGGCTACTTGGGGAATTTGAGACCAGCCTGGGCCATATGAGATCATGTCTCAAAATAAAGATCTGTCCTTTTTTGCTTATTCAAAACACACAAGAGGCTATTTAAAACAAGTAACTAGCCTTCAGCTATATATCCTGACTTCTTCCTAGTCAACTTGAGTTCAGAGCTTAAACCTGGATGAAAATCAATGGAGGATTTTGTGTCCACAAATATTTCTTCTAGAAATGCTTGCTCTGAAGACACTTCAGTCTCTCAGACATGTGTTTGAGGACTGCAAATGAAAACCTGTTCGTTGGTCATTAACTAGACAAGTCTGAAGATGAAACCTTGGCCAATTCTGGTCCCGTTTACCATTCTCTCTCTCTCTCTCTCTCTCTCTCTGTGTGTGTGTGTGTGTGTGTGTGTGTGTGAGAGAGAGAGAGAGAGAGAGAGAGAGTGTGTGG